AAATCAATACTTCGATAAATAATGAAAATTTTTAATAAAAAATCGCGCGATGTTTTATTAAAAATTTTCGCCTTCGCCGCTTTTCCCATAAAAATCAATACTTCGATAAATAACTAAGTTAACATTTTTATTACAAAATCTCTCGATTTTAGACTGAATCACTTTTTTTTATCAATACATCGATATTTAATTTAAAAAAAAAAAGTTAATTACAATGCCCGTTTTTATTGTTTCTCGTTTTCAGTGCTTTTTTTTGGGCATTTTTTGTTGTGTGGCAGCACCGACATTGTAGTACAATTGGTTTACAAAGCAAAAAGTGAGGTTGAGGTTGACATTTTTTGCAACTTAAAATTCAATTTTCATAAAAACTATAAGCCTCCGGAGGGTAGGGTTTTCAGATTTATAATCACAAAAAGCCGCTCTAAACTCCCTCATTTTCGCTTTTTTTAAAAGCCGGGTTCCGTATTGGAAAATTTTCCCGGTATTTCTAATAAGAGTTAGTTAATGTGCATATCGTGTGTGTGTTTGTTTGTTGTTATTTAATGTGTTTGACGTGCGTATTTAAAGAAAATTACTAAACAACATTGCGTGGAGTAGAAATAGCAAGCTGACAGGTGAACTAATAATAAAAAAATGCTTAATAATAATTAGCTTTTATTTGAGTTATAACAGGTTTGGCTCATTTTTCCAAAATTTAACATTTTGAGCGAAGTACACGTAGAAATCTATGTATCCTTCTTACATAGAATAAAGCCAATTCGAGATTTTTCCACCATGTTCTTCTTGAAAACCACTGAATGGATTTCTGAACATTTTTTAATAGAGGTATTATGTTTAGGTCTGAGAATTTCTATAGGGTAGCCATCTGTCTAAAAAATTATAAGATCCGCACCGTTCGGTGGATTACAGAAAATGAGGTGTCAAATGAAGGTGATTGGCCTCTAGTTGTCCAATAATGTATTATCTTTTTAGTAGGGCTGCAACCAATTTAAAAATTAGAATATATTCACAGTTAGTTGGACTAAAAATGAGATGCAAAATGAAAGGATACGGTCCCCGGATTCGCAATACGGTTTTTATTTTTTTAGTAGGGTTGTCACCTTTTTAAAATTTACTACCTTACATATACATAAGATTTTTTTTGTTAATGACATCAGATTTGCCCAGTTCACTCATTTACAAAAAAATAAGATGTCAAGAGCTTGGCCTATAGATATGCAATACATTTTTATTTTTTCGTAAGGGTTGCCCCATGTTCGAAAAGTCGAAACGAAAGAGTGCTAAGAAATCTTTAGTTTGAATATTTAAGCTATTTTTGAGGTGTTTGAAGGAGATTGGTTTCAGAACTATATTTAGTAGGGTTGCCACATATTTAAACAAGCAAATTCAATTTCAATTCAACGAAAGATGACACTGAAGATGGCACAACGCCGAAACCGGTTTGTCTGCAAACGAAGCTTGACAAGGGATGACAGAAATTCGTTCCAAAATAAATCATCTTACAACCCTGTCGAAAAAATCAACCAACACCAACAAACAAATTCAACTTGAATTGTGATTAGATAATTTAATTTAAATTTCAACAGAAACGATTGATTTTTTTTCGGTAAACGCTAAAATTAACGTTACAATGCATCCTTGGTTTGAGTCCATAGTTAAAAACAAAACATTTATTATGTTCTAACCAACATGGGTTCGTTTCGGGTAGATCTACAGAGGACTATTTGAAAACCTTTCAAAAGGTATTCCAAATTGACGCAGTATACACTGATTTTTCTAAGGTTTTTGACAGGGTGTCTCATTGAATATTGAAAGCTAAGCTTGAAGGCCTAGGCTGTCACTCTGAGTTTCCGAAGTGGATCACATCCTATCTGGATAATGTATCGTCTTTGATAATGTATCGTATTATTATTATTTTTGTTTCCTCTGGTGTTCCCCAGGGTAGTGTCTTAGGACCGTTATTATTTGTCTTCTTTATTAATGATATTTTCTCCTGTTTTTCTAATTGTAACTTCCTTCTACATGCGGATGACCTTAAGATATATTATGAAATTAAAAGTCTATCAGACTCATCTCGATATTGGTAAATGTCATTATACCTATTATGCAAAAGTAGTTAGTATTGTTCCTACGTCTTACTGTTTTTAATTTTGACTCAAAGCTCAACTTCACCACTCACATAAACTTTATTGTTTCTTAATCGTTCGCGATGTTTGTATTTGTTCCGATCCTTATATCTCAAACTTTTAATACAGTTCATGTGAATAGATTGGAGTCTGTTCAGAGGATTTTATAAGTTTTGCTTTGCGCTCAAAGAAATGATACTTATTGATAAATCCCATGTCCACAGAGTCCAGACGTACTCTGTTGTCGATGTGCTTTGTCATTGATATATTGCTATCCGGTGAGGCGATGTCAAGCTCGAAATATTTAGCGTCCTATAAGCGCCAGTTACTGCCGAAATTCGACCGTTTTTTAAGGCCCTTGGAGGGGTTTTCTAACATAGAACGTCGTTTAAAATTACTTACCGGAAAATTTCCTACTTTGGAACTAAGACATGACTACTACAATTTTTAACATTTTGAAGGCCTTTGCCAGGACTTGGAGTTGACCCCATACATTTCAGTTTGTCTATAAATTTGGATTATTTTATACCTATGTATGTATGTATCAATAATTCGATGAATTTTAATAACTTTAAAATTCGATACCTCAACAAAATTCGATAGCCCGTCTAATTTCAATGATTTTCGATAATTGTTCGTTTCGAGAGCTCGATAAATTTCAATAACTGAAAACCCCATAAATCGATAAACTTTGGATACCTCTACAAATTTCGATAGCTCGGTTAGTTTTGATAGCTCCATATTTTTCGAAAGCTATCGACAAACTTTGATAACTCGTTACACTCTGGTGACGCGATGAAATTCGATAAGCATATCGATAGCGCGATATATTTTGAAAATTCCAAGAGGTTCGATTCGATAACTCCAATAATTTCAGTTAATCAATAAATATCGACAACTCGACAAGTTAAAAAACTCGGTGCATTACGATAACTCGATAAATTTCGTTAACTCTATAAATAATCATAATTCAATAAATATCGATAGCTTGATGAATTTCATTTACTTGACACATTTCGATTTATGGGATATAAATTTTTATAGCTCGCTATCCGTAAATTTCCACAACTATACTGTGTCTATAAATTTCGACAAATCAATATACAACGTTGCGATAACTCAATAACATTCATAACTTGATAAATTTCAATAACTATAAACTTCCATGATTCAACAAATTTCGGCAGCTTGATAACTTTCGATAACTAAAATTTTTCATGACTGAATTTACTCTATTCCTATCGAAAAATTTCAATACATTTTCTTACCCTTTCGTGACCCTAAGGGCCAAATTCACAGGGCGTAGTTAACCACTGATGAGTTTAACTATTGATTTTCATATACCATGTTCTGACCGACAACGAAAACACTTTGAAAACGAGTTTTGGGATTGTGGGCTGAAGACTGTTCACACCGGCTGTTAGTGTTTTCGTTGACATTTCTTACATCCTCTGATTACAGTTTTGCTACGCAAAAACCAAACCAAAATGCTATTCCCTCATTTTCTTTTCATTAGCGACCTCTTACTTTCATTCTTATTTTACTTTGGCCAGCCAATTAACAATAAATCCGAAATGACGTTTTTAAGATGATAAAATATGACTTAGACTTCGATAAATAATCGAAAAAAATAGTGAAGGCACCGATTGGAATGAGTGGAACGTGAGTTTTCAAGTAGTTTTCAGCGAAAACTGGTTTTCGTTTGACAGATTTTACATGGACGAAAACAAGTTTTAGGTCGAAAACCAGTTTTAGCAACGAAAACATGTTTTCGATGTCGGTCAGAACATGGCAATATTCACAACGCTCAGCTAACAAAAGTTTAAACCAGCATGCCCCCATAGCTAAACTCTTGTGAAATTCGTTTTTTTTTTTTTTGTGGAACGAATTTCAAATTTGAATAGAAAAGTAATGATTTTTAGAATTTGTATATTTTCAGGCGATACGAATTTCTATAGCTAACTATGTGACTGAATATACATAAATTCGTAGTTAAACTCTTGTTGGTTGTTAAGTTAACAATGGTTTAACTAAGCACTGTGAATTCGACCCAAACTCTTATGCATTTCTCATTGTCTCCATTTTCATCTTTATCTTCACTTTTGCCTTCTCTTTTTTGTCTACATCGTTATTATTTATTTCTTCATCACATTTATCTTTATTTCAAAGTTTAATTACAAATATGAAGTGAAACGAAATGTGAAAACAACTCAAACTGAACAGATTCAACCAGAAGTATACACAAGTATGGAAATTTTCAAACGACAATTTTTTAGCCTAACTACTAAACTATAAAAACTCTCCTCGTCTACAGAAAAATACCTTTTAAATGGTAAACAGCACAACCTGGCGACCTATGCTGACCCTGGCATCGGACCATCTGCCCATAATCATCTCGGTTGATAATCCTGCCGATTTCACAGGATGGTGTGCTTTTTGTATTTCTAAACGTTTCATCCCACTGCAGTCAAATGTTAGAGACGATCTATGGCGGTAGTATTTGCAACAAGTTATTGAAATATCGAGGACAATTCGACATACATTCATTTACTCTCTTCAACTCGAGGAAAGAAAGTACATAAACAACTATTAAATAGCAAAATAAATATTTTTGTATCCAAATCGAATGGTCAATTATACTCCAGACGTTACCAAAGTATTTGCAATACATGAGGAAATGTAATGTGTCTATTACTAGTATTTAGAAAGTTTGCAGAGATGCTGGATTAAGACGTTCTTTCAACAAGCAGTGGTATGTTTTACCGGTTTTTACAAAATTGCGATATATGCGTATATATGAATCTTTACATATTTTAGACTTACTGCACTTGCTATTAACCTACTGAAAACTATAAAAACTGCATATTTACGTACCTTAAGGAAAATATGCTGTGGATTGATTCCTAGTTCTAAAGAAAATATACCATTTCAGAAAACTTGTACATATTGAAGTCATACTTTAGTATACCTTCCAACAAAGGTGGCTCATCGTCGAAGTCAGTTCCGGTGCCACCTGGTTTGAAACCTGAATCCTGGTCGTACGACTGATTTACATATGCATTTGGATCATAGAAACCACTTAGCCCTTGATTACTTGCGGCATAGCTGGCATCGTAACTCGGCGGAACGGAGCTCTGTGTGTTATCAAATGTTTGAAAATTTCTGTAAATAAAATTTGGTTATTAACTTTGCAGTGAAAAAAATGTTAGCTTTACATACAACTCTTGACCAAATTCCGGCACCTCAAAATTATATGACTGATCACCACCGCTGGCATAGAAATCATTTGGGTCATTTGTTCCACTGCCGTAAGACATTTCGTTTCGCACCTTAATTTAGAAAAATTAAACAAATAAACGCAAGCGATTATGAAAAACTAATATTAAACTAACGACGAGAGCATTATTTACAGGTAGAGCAGCAGGCCCTTTATCGAGTATTTATCTCAACTTACTAGAGCTTAATAATAAAAGAATACATTGCACTTACTTCTCAGGTATATCTTTAACAAGTTTTCTTGTATTATTGGACTGTTTAGTTGTAGAATTGTTAATTGAACTAGAATAATTGTTTTATATTTCAGCGAACAAAAGCTACCCACACACAGAACACTGGAGTTGTCATTTTTGACACGTCAGTAGAATAATCAACACAGGGTGGTATTGAACAGCTGATTGACAAAATGAGCAACAGTGTGCCGTGCAGGCAAAAAATGCAATACATTTTACATATGTTTACCAAAGAACCAAAGAACGTAGGTAACAAGAAGGGACAACTCGTTATAACTTTCATCCAATCAAAAAACGCACTAGGGCAGAAGAGAAGTGACGCCACTGTTGCGCACTTTCGCTATAATTCTTTGAAAGAACGTAGATAACCTACTGTTTAGTTTTTCGCTGGAGCACTGCCACTTTTTTCAAAACACTTCATCTCGTGTATTCGCGAATGAAATGAAGAATTCGTGAATTCTGCCGAATAAACGTAGTATTTATTCTTTAAGGAAATAATTTTATATTAATGGGATTTTAAAACAGGATAGTCGTTAACTATAAAACTGGCACAACTTAAAAAACGTTTTTGGTTATTCAGGAAAGGGCTATACAATTTTCAATTAGTCCTTACCATGCTTAAAACTGTGGTGCATATCGTCATTATCAGTGCGAAATATTCCTTTTGACAAGTTTAGAATTTTACAGAAGCCGGAAACTTTTTAAATTTTTATAGTGAATAACTACAGATGCCAATAAATGCCATAAATCTTGTATTTGCAATTACTCGACAACTCGATTACTCAAACTATAGTTTCGTTCCTCAACTTTCCTGGATAAAACCTGTAAAACTGTGAAAAAGCAAAATTGCTGTCAGAGAAAGAGAGAAAAACCAAGAAGTACGGGAACGCTTTTCGGGTAAAATCTGGTAAAACTGTCAAATACACCGTGGATGCCATTTTTTGTTTACGTAGCAGTTTTTATATCATTTGGCGATCTTCTAAATTTTGCTCAAATGCACCAGCAAATTAACAAAAATACTTACAAAACTTGATATTTCTTCGCTAGGATATATTTAATAATGTGAACAGCTGATGACACTTTACCAGATTTTACCAGCAAAAATTCTTCGGGTAAAATCTTGAAACTTCTGACAAAGAGAGGGCCGATTTTACTATCCCATTTTCCCCCTACTTTGCCAGAAAACCGGGTACGGGAACGCTTTCTGGTAAAATCCTGTAAATTCCTGCAACTTCTTGCGAGTTAGGGAACGCAACTTATGAGCTACTTAAAATATGATTACTCCAAAAAATGAATTTTGCTCATTAAAAGAAGTTTCTTTAGAAAGGGCTTAACTTCTTTTTTATAAAGTGTATAAGAAAAAAATAAATTCATATTAATTTAAAAAAAAAAAGCGTTGACTTTAAAATATCAAGCAGGGCTGCACATTAACGTTAGTTTTATCAATAAACGAAAATACAAAATCGTTTTGGTTTTTTTAAATCGATAATGTTAACATTATCACCCCTATTCTGCAACACTTTCGTATTCGGATTTTGCTACGAATCGTAGGAATGGTAAGCTGCAATCCGAATCGTATCCTCGAACTTTCGAAATTCGTAGTAATGGCATTCCTAAAAACGAACGATTAAGCTTTTTTGCGTAATTATGTACGAAAACAATACTGTGTCGGAGGCGAGACAAAAGACGTAAATCGATGTGTGTTTGTAGGAAATATTAGTGGTTTTCATTTAAACAGATAAATTTGCCTTTCGCATATACGTATATTTTTATCCACTCCTTTATATAAACGAGCAAAAAAGAATCTTTTTTGCCCCTTATCGAGAAACTTAGGTGCGGTTTAGTTATCTGTACAATGATTTTCGGTTGTTGTGTCCAAACGCATAACCCGAATCCAGAAACTTTAACATACACTTGTAATCAAAGGATTAAACCTTGATTTAAAACAAATGTTTCAAATTATTAATAAATTCGGTTTGCACTATGCACTTTTTTGCAAATTTCGATGTGGGTTCTGCGCAAAAATACTGTGATATGCACAAGAAATATTGTATACCTTTGACATGCGGAAGCCCCTCTTCTCCGGCAGCACAAAAAGGAGAATTCTACTTAGTAACTAAACAAAAGCGTTGGGCGGAGCGGTTTCTGACGCCGAGCGTTAACGCCGAAGTGCCATACCTAAACAAAAGCGTCAACGCTACGTCAAATGCAGAAATAACACCAACAATAAACACAGGTTTGTTTGTGTGTAACACGAAAATGACAGTTTCGCCGTTTTCTGCAGCCAACTTCAATGCCTAACGCCCTGTCAACATCGGATTTTCCAACCGCTCAGCGTTGACGCCGCGTTGTTTCGGTATGCTTCATACAAATTGTATGGGCATGAGAATTTTTTGACAGCCAGACAACGCTGACGCTTTTGTTTAGGTATGGCAGTAAGAGTTATAATCCCTAAGAGCGGCCGAAGGCAGAAGCAAGCGCAACAGGTGATGGACCTAAAAAAAAATGCATGTTTTCAATGGATTAGAAGAAGCTGTTATTGCATTAACTGGATTGGGAACCAGTTCTTCAGGCATAGGAGGAGTTCTGGCTTGTTAGAGCTGGGATACTATCGATAGTAATATCGATAGTATCGATAGTTGAAAACTGTCGCCACTATCGATAGTTTTTGAAAACTATTGATGTCGGTTTTAGCAAGACTTCACAATGTCTCTTCTTTACATCTCTACACATTACATTAATTTTTTTTTATAAAAGAAAATTCACAACACAGTCGGCAAAAAAAAATTTTAAGTCATTGGGATTTTTAGCAACTATAAGCTTACACTGAGTTATAGTAAAATTTAATAGGCTATAAAACTGATTACACAAAATTTTTATAGAAGTTCGATTAAAAAGCTTGAATTTTTAATTATTTTTTAGTTTTTTATGTTTTGTACAAATTTTATAAAAAATTAGTAGACACTAAATAAACAAAAAAATAGTCAAAACTGCTAAAATATATTGCGGTGCTATTTTTTTGAGCAGTACAATATTCGTTTTCTTATAATATGGTAAAATGTTAATAATTTCCCTTGTGCGGATTTTGATATGCGCCTCCGTATTTGATCTCAGTTGAACTTTTATAAGTATGAGTTGTCAATTTAAACGAATATCTTTTATTTTGTTTGTTTTGTAGTATTATAAATGTATTTTTATAGCCAATTTCACTTCTTTGCACTTCAGAAGGGACAAACAAAATCCGAATTTAATTTTGCCATAAAAATAAATAAATTCAGATTTTGCCTGTCGCTATTCAAGTTCGCTATAAAGTTATATAATTCAGACGCATAAATTAATAAGTTTATTTTATTATTATAAGAAATTCTTTTTGATGCACTCAAATTAAAAAAAATATATATACAATCTCTTTAATTTACAAAGTGATTTATAAATTTTTTAATTATTTAATTTTCAAACAATTGAGCGTTCCAATTCAGTACCTTTCACGACGATAGTACTATCGATACTATCGATGTTTTCAACTATCGTTTCGAAAACTATCGAGTGGCGGTACTATCGATAGTATCCCAGCTCTATGGCTTGTGGTTCAACAATTCAACCAGAAGCTGACATAGAAGCGCCCATGGTTACTATGTCCGGCAGCTCCACATACCTTTGTAAGTCCATTGCCATAGCGCGCTCTTACTCCGCTGCTATAACTGCAAATGCATCAGAATCCATAATTTTCCTCAATCAATCAATTTTACTATAAAAAAGCACATGATGAGTGTTTTTAATTTTTACACTTTCTTTTCCTTCATACAGCTGAGTTCGAAAAACAACTGATACCTGGCAATGCTGCACATATTTCCGCAAGGGTTGCAGCATGTCGATTTTGCGTTTTTCGTAACGTAGCTACGAATTACGAATTACGAAAATTCGGGAAACGCAGCCTATGTGTTTATCAAAAAAAAACAGGGTACGAAAATAAACTATATTGTACGTTACTATTTCGTTTCGTTTATTACTTCAATAGTTCGGTACAATACGAAAACAAAACGGCTGAGTTCACTTTGGCGATAGTACACTACAGTAGTTTAGTAGTTACAGACGAAACAACAAACGAAATGAATCGTGCAGAGAAAAATATATGTATGTATGTACACATCAAGGCGGTACACATATGCAATAACTAAACACAAACCGAATGGCTGCAATGAATAAAAAAAATTAAAATGTTTTTTAATTGAGTTGGATATGAAAATTTACAGAAAAAAATAATTTTCACGTAATTGAAACGTTTGCATACATATATATATATGGTACAATTGTCACAAACGAAAAGCAAACGTTTCTCGTTGGGAAAATGACAGTGAATCTTACAATTTGTTTCTGACTATGTACAAAACTGTAAAAAACCACAAATGATATGATGATCGATGAGCAAATGGGAATTGTTTTGTATAGTTATTTTCGTTAATTATCAGAAAAATATGTCAACAAAAAATTTTGTTTCGTTGATTATCAAAAAAAATATATATCAGAAAAGGAAAATTGTTTCTGCTGCAAACATAAAATTAAATTAACAGGCAAATTTTATTATTTGAAGCAATTGCGGGAATAATGGGTCGTAAAAAAGTAGGCGAATTAGTGCGATCGGGCTTTTGGTTGGAGAGGGGTTATTTGTGTGCAAATTTTGCCAAGCGAAATTAACAAGTGATCACTTGGGAAATTTCAAAAGCCATTTGATCAGAAGACATAAGGAAGCCTTTGAAAGGCTCCAGGAACGAGCATTAAAATTGAGCTTGAGCTAAGTAAAAACGACGTGAAAGGTATTTGTGCGTATTTTATTACCAACACTTTTCAAAAGTTATGTACGCCAATATATCGACAGTTTAGATAGAACAAAATTACTCGTAATAATATAGGGAAGATTTTAATGCAAAAACATGCAACACTAAAAAATCGCATAATATCTATAAAAATTGCCAGTGCCAGCGGCTGTTTCGTAACGTAGTATGCTTAAATGCGCAAATTTATTAAATGGAGGAAAATTTCCATAAATACGTTGGCAGTAAAAAAATTTTCGTGAAAAACACACCCTAAAAAACCTAAAAGAGCTAATTTTGAAAAGTCTAGTTTTTAATTTCAAAATT